GGCCTAAATTGCGTAAAATTCGGAGAAAAATTATGCGAACGTACGCAAATTGAGGATGGAAATAGATTCCGCCCCTTTTCTTTGATGAAATTTTATGCAGGAACAGGAATAGGAACAGGTACAGGTACTGGGACAAATGTGAGCAGGGAATACTCTCAAATGAAGCTGTGGCAATCTTTGCAATAGTTTCGAATGGCTAATGGCGAAAAAAGGATTTTCCAATATACTAAAACATTTTGGCATTCTTTTGGCGAGCGGATGGTGTGGGGGATGGACCCATTGGCGAGCGATTTCTGCCGAAACTCACAAAACGCATTTCAGAGCGGGGGGGTCGTGGTCGTGGTCGGGGTCGGGGGTCTGCCTTCGAGTGAACTGTTGTTTAAAAATAACTCCTTGTTTTGTGTGGAATTCCCATGCCATGGAAATCACATGCACATCGGGGAAATGTAAAAATATTGATGTTTTCAGTTTCGGTGCTAATTTTAACTGAAATTCCCCTGGCCTCTGGTCTCTCCTCTCTCCTTAGCATCCGTTGAGGCGAGAGAAATTAGCAAAGAATAGTAAGGGATCATAAGTACGAGTATACTATACATATATAGTATATATTGTATGTATGCATGTACATATGTATTTGTAAATGTTTTTCGATGGGCCAGGGGTGTGGCATGGACTGAGTGGGCTGTGTGGGGTGTGTGCCCCTTGGCCTCGTGGTTATAAAAATAAGTGAAAATTTATTTAAAAATCATCGCACTTTACATTTCCAATGCAGCAAAAGGCAGCAGCAGTCCAACAGCCCAGCAGCCAGCGGCTGCCCCCCAAAAACAGATGCTCAGAAATTTCCTTTCTTTTAGTCGAAGGAGATCGTCAGCGAAAGCAACAACTCAAAGCATACAGCACAAAAGATACAGAATCGGAATCAGAATCGGAGAAGCATATATCCGAGAAGGCAACCAAAATACTTGTACAATAACAAAAGCGAAAGCGAAAGCCACAAACCCAAAAATAATACAATTTTAAAATATATTTCTCAGTGTGCGGGATGGCCTGTCGGTGTATATGTATCTCTGTTTATTTTCCCATCCCTGTGTGTCTGTGTGTGTGTGTTTCGATTTATTTTCGAGCGATCGGTCAGAATTAAGAATTAAGAGGTTTATTAGCGCATTGCATCGCACCGCATCAGTCGTCGGGCAATCCACACGCGAAGCATCGCATTGCTGTCGGAGGAGTCCACGCGTTATTTTTTGTCATCACTAGCACATTGGGCCATCTCTAAGTCTGCCCATTGATGCTCCGATCAATGATAACTACGGAAGCGCGTTATCGAAGTGTTTGTTTTGTATGTGTGTGTGTCTGTGTGTTAGTGGAATTGAAATAACTAGAGGAATACAAGAAAATGCAAAGTACCAAAGTGTTAAGAAATGCATACATTAATAACCAATCAATGAAAAAATCGATAAATGATAAGCATGTAAAAGGGAAATCGATAAAAATCAAAGATTATTAATTCTGTAACTATGAGACATATGTATATTAAAAACTGATTTGCGTCAGGATGTGACCATTTAAACGCCACTTCTTATGTTCGTTACGCTACGCTGTGCTACGTTACACTCTGGTTGAATACATAAATGTTCGCTTAATTTGATTCCCTTATAATCTGATTAGCTTCCCTTAGCTTTGGCTTGTGCCTCTTCTACTTCTTCTGACCAAAAACATTAAAAGCCCAGCTTCTCCGGGGTCTGCTGCTCAAAGTGGAAAAAGCCGCAGCAAATCCTTTGTGCACACACACACACACATATGTATGTACATATATACACGCCACTCACTCGATTCTATGAAAATGGCATTAAAGCGCTTTGGAAGAGCACTTGTGGGGCTCACGCTTAACTCTCGAATGCTCATCAAAAAGAGATTCAGAGAGTGAGAGATTGAGCGGCGGGGAATCCCACCGAAAATGATTTCTGTGGCCTTTTCTTTCGGGTTTCGGGATGGTTCTTATTTTGGGGTTACCTCAAAATTTAAATTTGGCTCAAAACCAAAGGCAAAAACAAAAGCAAACAAGCAAACAAACAAAACGCGAACTAAACAGAAAACAGAAACCGTAAGATATCTCAGAAAAGAATAGAACAGATCTGAAAAGATCCGAGCGAAACGGAACGGAACTGAACAGAACAGAACAGAGGCACAAGAAACAAAAAGCGTTTTTTATAGAACATTTATTTATAATTATACATTCTCCTCCTCGTTTGTTGTATATGCGATTTTGTTCTTCTGCCTCCACTGCCAGTAAAATTGAAGTGTAGGAAATGCTACATATATACATATGTACACACACGTTTATGGTACACAATATTTTCATTCGCATTCAATCCTCAATTCAATTCAATCGCCCGCCACGCTTCTGTTCTCAAACGGTGCCTTTCGGGAATCGATCAATCCATCAAAAATAGTGAAAAATAGTGCAAGTGTTGTGCAGAAAAATTGCACCTAAAATGCCATAAAATCTGTAAAAAGCAGTGCAGAAAAGTGCAGTTTTCTCAATAAAAAGTCATTCAAATTTCCCAAAAAAAAAGTGAAAAAAGAAACATCTGTTTTGTTGAGGTTTTTATCGAAAAAACAAAAAAACAAAAAAATAAATTCAAAATGTTGCCAGCAACAAAGGCCACAGCTACCGTTAGCAACATGCTGCTAAGGAAATATTGGCCGCCAGATGTCGCGGGTTGATCAGGCCAGCAGAGGGCGCGCTCACGATCACCAGCCCACTTGCCCATACGGCCCACAGAGGGAGCCACAAAAGGAATGTAAGAGAATAAATAAAATCAAGAAAAGGAAAGGAAAACGATTTTCCCGCCTTGGGGGGGACATGCTGCCTAAGAGGCTTGGCATTGGAAAAGCTTATCACTTATCAGATTATCACCTTATCACCTTTGGGGCCTAGACTTGTGTGCTTAGAAAAACAGGAAAAGCATCTGCCCTGGAGGTGGCTCAGGCATTAGAGAGTGTAGGGGAAGAGGTTGAAGTTAGACTCTGTCAAAGCACTCGAACCATTTCCATTTCCGTTGGGAAATTTAATATGCCGTCTGGCTCTGGCTTTGGTTCTGCCTGTGGCTCCCACTGCGTCACCCAATCGCTCCCGAATGGGACTCCACGCCGTTCTATGCGCCTTCTATGATCTAAAAATATTTCCCGTGTCCCCCTTTTTTTTCCTTTTAGTTTTTTTTTTCTTGTGCAACAACTTTAATGCATTAACGTCTCATTTTTTTTTTTTTGCATATTCTCTGCCTTCATGCCTCCAATTGGGGTATGCCTCAAATTACGAATCAGCGGAGAACACGTTCTATGGGAAAATCATGAGAAAAGTGGCCATAATCAAGGGGAAAAAACTCTACTGTGTTTTGTTTTTGGAATTAAAATTTTCCAGAATGTCGAAGAATTGTGGAACATTTCAGAGCATTTATGGATCTCTAGTGTATTCAAAGATGCGGTTTCCCCTAAACAAAGGATGTCTCCTATATTCATATTTGTTTTCTTTTTCAATTGCAACAAAATGTTGTTTATTTACGCAAAAATTGTAGTTGTAGACTTTGGCCAAAAGCCAACAATAGCCAACGTAATGTGCAAGAGTTGCCGAAAAGCCAAAAACTGCACGAAAAATCACGAAAATGTTCGACCAAAAATAACAATAATAATAACAGGAATACGAGCCCCAATTACGATTATGTTTTTGGAAATATTTACAGGAATAATTAAGAGGAAAATTTTGACACACAAAAAAAAAAATACAAAAAAAAAAAAACAAAAATCAACAACAAAGAACAAATAAATTCAAATATGAGGCTGAGGCACATGACGAGTGGGCGTTTGAGATATAGGGAATGTTTGAGATATAGAGACAAAGATATATGTCATCGATAGAGAGTGAGGGAGAGTGAGAGAGAGACAGAGGAGGGGAATAGGGGAAGTGAGACAATAGGTAGATACAGAAAGAGTGAGAGGAAGAAAAAAGAACGTGATTTTGTTGGGGGCGAGGGAAATTTATGAGAGACAACTGCACGGCGCTTTTCTTGTATGTCATTCAGCATTGAAGAATCGGCTATGCCCTGCAGGAGATATCCACCTACGAGTATCTAAGTATTTGTCATTTATGAGCCCAAAAAATAAATGAAAAAGTACAAAATATTTTAGTAGAAGTTTCAGTGGCTTCTGCCCAAAATGAATTCATCAACCCAAAGAAAATACTTCTGAAAATGTGCGGGAAATCTCAGCAAACAGTTACCACATTTTTTTAGAGTCGCGTGTTGTTTTGTCAGGCTTTGTGCAGGAGGTGGAGAAAAGGTGGATTGTCTAGGGGGCACGCTCTTGGGGCATACACATGCTTTCCTCTTCCCAGCATACACAAGAGTCAGCAGCAGCAGCCAGCCAGCCAGCCATTCATTCCACTTGGAGGCAACACCACTGCCATGGCAACAACACAATAAAAGGCAGCACCACAGGCAACACGCAGAGACACACACATACGTATGCAAAAAGCACACGCAGAGACACACACACAGAGAATGTGCGAGATACAGGAAAGCTGATCAAGTCTATGGGGTGGGGTTGGTAGGGTACGGGATGTGGCTGATGCTTGTTGTTCGTTGAAGCATTTCATTAGCCACCCACGCATTCCTACACTCAAACACACTGACAGTGAGAGGGAGATAGAGTGAGTGAGTGGGAGAGATGCACACACAGGCATTGGTACAGATACAGAGACAAATTTTGTATGTGTGGGGCGTTATTTTTTAAGCACAGAGGAATCCTGCAAGTGACTGTCGTGCATACCCGCCCCCACCTTCCTGATGACTTGTTGCATTCATCTCTTGGGGGGAGAGCGTCGTCTCGGTGCAGCGGGGCATGCGACACATGCCACAGATACACAGATAAACAGATACGCAAATGATTGTGCAATGATTGATATCCATCCCCATCTCGCACGCTTCCACTCCATTTATTTTCAGTTATACAATTGTGCAACTGGCAAGGACATAAGCACGGGGAAAACTTCAGGTGGCAACGACAGAGGAAACACGTCAATTGCCATAATGTGCGTACAATAAAACGGAGTGGAAACGGAGAACGGAGAGCTGCAGATACAGATACAGATACAGATTTAGATACATGTGTACATACATCTATATCTGGCATAGCCTGAAATCTGTTATGTCTAATCTGCAATCGAATGTGGAGGAAAACTGCAGGAACAGTTGACTTCCCTGCACATTCTGCACATCCTCAAGGAACCAAGGTGAGTGAAAATCTGAAACTGGAACATTTACTATTAATATACATGAAATGGAGAAAGGGAAAGGTCTTCCCTGGGCAGAATGAAAGAAAAAGTTTGGCTGGTTTCTAATTAAACTTTATTTTGGAAAATTGAGATGCATCTCAATCTGCATCTGTAGCTGTTTCTATCCTTAATTTCCACTTTAATTAAACTCATTTCGAACTCTCGCACAGAAAACCGACAAGAAAAGCATTTTAATTTGCCAACCATAAAATAACAAGAAAAAAGCCATAGAAAATGTTGCAGAAAACTAGAAAATTGTTTCTAGTTTTTGTTTTTGTTTGATTTGTTGCTGCTGCTGCTGCGGTTGCTGTACCTCATGGATGGTGCATGGGGGATGGGGGAAAACGGATGGTTGGATGGGGGTCTCTGATATTTTCACGCTTAATCACTAACAGTCCCTCTGTGTGTGTGTGTGTCGTCTGTGGCATGGCGACAACAAGACATGAATAAAAAAAAATCAGAAACATTTTGGCCCAAAGCCAAAAATACTTAAAGCCGCAAATGAAATGACAGAGAACGGACGGACCAAGACGGAGCCAAAAAAAAACAAGGAAAAAAACCCCTGCTGAAGAAATGTCAAAGGGGGAAAACAGCACTGCAGCACCACAGAGATAGAGGAGAGAGAGAGAGAGAGCGAGAAAGTGGTGCCAGAGGGGAACTTTAATTTTTCCTTTATTGCGGCTGTCGAGTGCAATAATAGAGCGAAAAAACATCATGGAAATGCAGAGGACAATGCAATATGCACGTACCGTACCTCTACAAATATTTCATTAAAATTTTCAGGCAGGTGGCAGGTAGAAAAGCCCAGGCACCCCGATGCGAGATGTTATATGAATCCTTTGGTGTTTTTGTGCTCTGATTAATTACAAAATTCCCAGAATATTCAGCGGTGTAAAAGTTTCAAGGAATTTTCTCTCTCTCTCTCTGGCCAACTAAACCTTCTCCCCCACATTTTGCTTGGCTGCAACTGATATTGCCCTTATTACAAATATTGTGCAATTAATGGAACATGCCAGCAATTTCTGCGGACGGTCTATGTAATACTTAGAATGCTCTTGGGCAGTGCACCCAACCCACAGCCCACCCCAGACCCTGGGCATGTGCTACACCTCTCCCCCTCCACTCCATTGGTGGTTGTCATGGGGCAAAATTCCTTGGCGCAAAGTGTTGTACGTTAATTGAAAGCCAATGCGAGAAGAGAATGCTATCCGATGAGAGATGCTTATGTGTGTGTGTGTGTGTGTGTGTTGAAAAGGTATACACATATGTACATACATATAGATATACATATATATGTATATATGCAGAGCATAGCCAGCTGTTGTTGTAGGTCTTGTTCGGTCTGGTATTCCGTGCATCAGTAAAAGAAAACAAAGCCAGAACTAAAGTTGATATTGCTCCTATCGAAGGGTTTCAAATTAACTAAATTGCTGAGATAGATATTGGATAGATAGATGAGATATAGAGACAGACTAGATAGTAGAGAGACTAGATACAACCAGAGATAGAAGTGGTATCAACAGTAACGATCAGAAAGCTCAATATTCACATGGGTTTCCCTTAGCTATTGTTCCACAATAAACATCAGAACGATCAGTTCTGCAAAACAAATGAAGATACCAAAAAGACATCTTCATTTAGTTCTGCAAATATTCGGATCCATCTTTAACTTCAAATTGGAATCGAAAGTTCTTTTTCGTGGAAGTATTGCACACATGATTCGCATCCATCTCATGTCCGATCTTTGTTCTTCTTCAGACATTTCACATTTCATGCTCATGCATATACCCAGCACCCCATTCCGCATTTGAGAATATCGAATAACCCCCTATAGATCATATATCGATCATGTATAACGATTTCCATGTGCTCTTCTGTAGGAGGATTACGGATTCTACACATACACACACAGCAGATATACAAATAACGAATGAGAGGAAGATATATACGATATATACAATATATACTTTGTTTATATGAAATGTCAGTGTAACAAACACATCCTCTTGCTCTATCGAGACTCGTTCTCTCTTTCTTTCTCTCTCTCTCTTCTGTCTCAGTGAATTGTATCTGTATCGGTTGGAATCGGTCCATATGTGTATCGGTATCTGTATCTGTATCTGTTGTATCGGTATCTGCAGCTGCGCAATTGGCGACGACAGACATCAGACGCTGACATGGACAGCAGCAACTGGTAGAGCGATTCGAGCGAGCGGCCACAGGTCGTGCACGGGGCAGGCGAGCACGGGGAATGGGAGATGGGGGGCATGCCGCATGTGTCAGTTTCCCGTTACCGGGTCCCCCTGCCTTCTGCCTTTTCCCCTACTCTTTTGTGGCTTTTGTAGTTTTACTTTGGGCAGGCGCTTTCGTAACGCATTTTGGCAGCACCTGTCCCTGCCCCTGTCCTACCCCTCTTCACCTTATTCTTCACCCACCTTCTTTGGCCCTCCTTTTCCTCACTCTTGTCTCTCTCCTTTTCTCTGTCTTCCCCCTTCTATTCCTCCCTCTCTCCCTTACTTTCCGCCCTCTTGGATGATTGCAAAATATTGTGTAGAAAGATTGAAATATTTCGAAGAGAGAGAGCATTTTTCGTAGAATGAAAACTGAAATTTAATCAGCGAGCCAATACACGAACAAAACGCACAGCTCCCCCTCCTGCTAAGAGTGAGAGAGAGAGCGAGAGAAGGATAGATCGACTGAAAGAGCGTCAGAGAGAAGCAGAAGGGGAAAGGTAGAAGAGGGACCCAAGCAGCGCCGCGCGTAACGTGAGCACAAAAACAACAGCCAAGAAGGGGAAGAATGGGAAAGAGATGGCTAAGAAGAGGATAAATATTGCCCGAGGGGGGGAGTGGAGGGTTAGAGAGGTGAGGTAGCAGTGCCAGAGGCAGCAGCAGCGGCAGAGGATGCTCTGGCGATCGAGGCGAGCACTTTGTCTATATTTAGACCGAAAATGCAAATGGCGTATGGCGGCGCACACACACGATCGCAGGCAAAGGCAGAGAGAGAGAGAGAAAGAGTAAGATGGATATATAGAGAGAGAGCGAAATATAAGTACAGCCAGCAGAGAGGTGAAAATGCGCACACTGAGGTGGGTAATTTTCGCGCATGCGCATGAAACGGAAACGATCGCCAACGGACGCCATTTTGTGTGACAGTGCGATGCCGTCACGAGGAGACAAGAAAAAAAAAACTACAGAGATCGAGGAAAAAAACAAAGTTGAACAATTTTATAGATAGAATTTTTTGTTAACTAAATTTAAAATTTTTGTTTTGGTTTTTGTTTTAAAATTAAAGATTTGTGAATGAACTGAACGAACACCTGAAGCTAGCACCCCTCTGCAGCACACCACCCCCTCGAGGGGTTGGTTTCGGAAATCTATTTTGAAATATTATCATCAAATTTCTGCAAGTAAACACAGAAATCGATTCATGCTGAAGAATACGGGCAATGTTATTGGCCCCGCAATTTATTTTTACAGCCAGCAGCAAAGATAGATCCTACGAGTATGTTGGCGTGGCAGTGACACGTGCCGCAGCTAAAATCGGACGGAAGAACAGATATACATAGCTATAGCCAAAACAGTCACATCGCGAGAAAGAGCTATAGATATAGCCATAGTTTTCTTTCCGTCTGTCTGTTTGTCTGTCTATCTGTCTGCTGTGTTGATTCCCATGTTTATACAGATTTTATGTTTGCTTTCGTTATGGGAGAGGGATCGCCGGGGCATGGAGGAATGGAGGCTATTGCATTCAGCAATCTGATGATAAATCTGGTGGGTGGTCCATCGCCAAAAGGAGGCCCGTCTACGTCTACGGGCAGCTCCAGATTGATTGAATATTTATTTGGGTTTTTCTTTCGGGATGTATGCTACAGGGGGTCCCTTATAGATGATCTCCCATAATCCATTTTAAGATTTTAGACACTAATCAACGATAATTAGCATATTCTTCAATTCCCAATTATTACTTAGATTCCAAGCCCTCAAATAATCGATTGTGGCTGTCTGGCACTCTAAGAGGTAGCTAGATAGAATTATCCTAACTATATTTAGGAACCCCATCCTCAGTGTCTTCTGCTACCTTCTGTGTAACCCCAAACCAAAAACATGAATGACAAAAGGAATTATTGAAAGATTATGATTTCCACAGGGGGCTGTCACTCCCCAAAGCCGTGACGAAGAACAACAAATGGTGGGAGGACAGGAGTAGGGGGGAGGGTGTGTAACCGTAGCCAAAGGATTGGCTCGGCCGCTTCGCCTTCTTTTCCCAAAGTGCATTCTCTCTTTCGTGTGGATTTGTACCTTCAGCCGCACGATGTTCAGCCCAAACTTTAAATGCCACATAGAGCACGCGTTGTGTCTGTTGAAAGATCTCTCTGTGTGTGTGTGTGTGTGTGTGTTGCCATGGATTACGAGGAGATGGAAGATGTCTGTGCCTGTGAGAGGAGATCTCTACGGGACCCTGCCGTCCCGTGCCGTGCCGGGCCCCTCTCTGCTTTCAGTTTTACTAATTGCTTCCGTTTTGGGGCTGCTACGGTTTTCAGGGGTTCTAGAGATTCATTTTAATTGCATTTCTTTTAACGGTAACATCAGTGGAAGAAGTGGCATGCCCCATGCCACTATCCCGTACCCCATCCCACAAGCACAAGCCCAAGCCCTGTCTGCCCCTGCCTTCTGCCTCATTCCCTTTTCCATCTCTCTTTGGCTGCTGCTGCTTGGCTGCCTGTCAGTCTGGGCGTCGGTCTGACGATGCCCCTGCCACTACCCCTCCTGCTCCTGCCCCCCACCATTCCTGCCATGTCAATAACATTTGCGTACACGGGAAATATCTTTCTTGGGTTTTCTTCTGCATCCAGGGCTGTGGCAAAAAGGGGGTTTCCTAAAGATTACCGCTACCACAGAGATGTATTGTCTTTCTATAGAATTCATATGGGAATTCAATTATTGAATTCCTCAATTATGCCTCCCCTTTGTATGCCACCGCCACCGCCTCTGACTTTTGCTTTTATTGTAGAAAAAACAACGAACAAAAATCAAAGGAAACATTGCACAAATATACAGATATCCACACACGCACACACACACAATCACACATATGTAGATACATATACACAGAAAAGATCTGTGCCTTATGGCCGCTGCTGCTGTCTGCCGCTGCTGCTGCCGCTGCTGCAGCCGCTGCTGCTGTCTGCTTCTGTTGGGTCTTGAGGTGAGAAAGACAGCAAATGAAATGTGGATGCAGGCGCTCCCCTCTCACAGAAACACACACATACACACACATACAAACAATAAACGATACAGATACAAACCAATACAGAGATAGAGATACATTTGAGGTAATGCTCAAGTGAAACATGCCCCTTCCCCAACCCACCCCAAACACCATTACATTGGTCATAGAATCCGCACTCGAAACTCGAATGCTTCTGTCTCTGCCTCTGGTCTGAGGTCTCCTGCTGCCACAAAACCAGGAAGCTGCCTCAACATCCAGAGGATGCAACCACTTGAGTCCGCGATGCAACTCGGAGTCCAGTCCTGACAGAGCGGTGGAAGGAGGCGGGAAATGTGCCTCATTGAATTGGGGGATTTCCTCAAAAATCATTTATGCAACAAGCAACCGATTGAGGGACATCCGAGTGGCAGTAATAAGCAACCAGAAACCATAAACAGCTGTGGAACAGGGAGCCGCATAAGGGATAGAAGGAGGCAGAAGTTGTGGGTCTTAAAAGATGAAAGATTATCGAAATACTTCAAAAGATAGAAATAAGATTATGAAAGAATATATTGAAAGGGAAAGGAAAAAGAAAAGGATTGGGAGAAGCACCTGTACCAGATATTTTAGGACCTGCATACATATATAAGGAGGATACTCTATCCATATTCTATCGATCTACCTTTTGTATCTTCCAATCTATTTATGGTATCCAAAAGTCTCCTTGTGGGTTGTGCTTTTCGTTCACAATGCAACTTTTTGGCTAAATAAATCTATGTGTGAGTCTGTTTGGTATTCGGTAGATATAACAGAACACTTAAGGCTTAAGTTCAAGTGCAACAAACACTCAAGTGTTTCAAAATTGTTGATTTAGTTTCTTTTTGGTAGTTTTTGAAGAGTTCAAAGACCAAAGACCTGCCAAACGTAAACCTTCTGCTAAAAATAAAGAAAAAGTCAAGTTAATCAATTGATTTAAATGATTTTTACACGATATCTCATTGTCTTTAGATCGAAGTAAATCTTCTGATGGATAAAAAAAGTGTAGATTCCATTAGATTTCAGTCGATAAATTATTGGCTTGGAAGCCAAGATGATGATGATGATGTTGTTGTCGATGTGGCTGCCCCATTCATCCTCTGGCTGCTTCAAACTGCTGCCTGTTGTTCGGCTCTACTGTCGACTGTCGCTTTGCATCAGCTTACAAGATTTATGGTATCCTTTCAACTTTAAACTCGCTTTGAGCACTTGTCTCCAGCCCTCCAGCTCTATCTTTCGCTCTCGCTTCCAAGTTGGGGGCATGCCACGCACACATGCCGCATATGTTGACAGAGCAGTAGGAAGAGTTGTAGTCCGGGCTTCAGGGGGGCGCAATGCGTTGCAGGAGGTTAACGCGTGTTAAAACGCGTGTGCATTGAACTGCGCGCGTCATAAATCGCTTGCGATATTCAAGCGTTTTTCGTTTAGTTTTCTTTTGTTTTTTTTTGGGGCTTTTTAAAACGCCCCCTTTGCTAAAATTGACTACATTTTCATTTGGCTTTGTCCGCTTTACTCTTTTTCATTGCAGTGAAAATATATTTTGTACCTGTTGTTGGTCGTCGTCTGCCGCCAAAGGCAAGAGGCAGATACTTCTTCCGCTAAGGTGAGTCGTGTTTATCTTCCCCCCCCCCAGAAATGTCCTACCTTCCAGCACGTGCCACGCTTTACGAAGCTAGCCACAAACTGTGGCAGAGTGGCACTGAAGTGTGTGTGTGTGGGCAAGGCAAATATTTACACTCAATGGAACATAATAAAGACATTAAGGGAAATATTATGCTCTATGTGTGTGTGTGTATGTGGGGGTGGTGGGGCAATAACTCAAGTTCTTTGGCGGGGAAGAAATTATATAAAACTTATCCATCCATCCAACCTCGTCCTCCCACCCCTCGCAGTGGGAAGTGTCTCTGCGTGTGTGTGTGTGTGCGCGGGACACTTTTCTTTATTGCTCTGCGAGTTTCCGTCAATTTCCGTGTATCTTTTTGCCTCTGTCGTTTGTCTCTAACTCTGTTCTGGATGCCTGTCTCCGTCCTGTTGCTGTTCCCATCATCTGGTTCCGGGCTTGCTTCCTTCCATCCAAAGATTAGTTGCACGGAAAATTGAACTCTGAAGAGGAATATTCAACAAGTTGAAGGCTTTCAAATAACCTTAAACTTTGCAATAAAGATAAGTTGTGTCGCAGTTCTTTCCAGCAATAAGGTAATAATGCATCTAATTGGTTTTCAGAGCTCGTTAGCAGAAAAGAAAAATTAAAATTCCAGTTAAAGAGCTCAAGGATTTTTCCACGAAGGAAACGCTTTCATTTGAGTACTTTGATGTTTTTTATTCTTGTTTTTTTTTTTTTGTAGCATACTTTGCTGATGCAAATGCAGGGGCGGTAATGGGGCAGGGGCTTGTGGGCTTGAACCCAAGCTTTGAGTTGCATTTAAAGCGCTTCATTTACCTGGTATTTATTCCATTTGCATGTCATTCAAACAGCCTCCACTTATCATACTTTTTGAGAGTGTATCTCTGTATGTCATCCCACATTTGTGTACATATTTGATTGATAGCAAATGATTACCTCAATCAATGTCCCTTATTTCATGCTACTCATTTGAATGTTACCAATGTGGGGCAAAAATAAAATTGTGTGTAGGCGTGGAATATGAATGAAGCTCTGCCGCAATTGTCGCGCTTAACTGAACAGCCCTTTTAGCCACTTTTGCTTGCCCTCGAAAAAACTGCATTAAATATGTGCAATCCGTCATCGTTTCAGTGAGATAAGTAAAAGGCAAACTGGAGAATTGGTTGACAGTTTCCAGATAAGTTTTTGTAGTATGCGGCAACTACTGTGAGTATGCCACGTGGATTATTTTTGGGAAACAATTAGAAAGTCAAGCAACTGTCAGGGGCAATTAGAGGGACACGAGAGAGTTTTTACCAGAGAATTGTAAGCCAGCTATGTGGAAAGGCCATCCTATACTATACCCTGCTCTCGCTCCTCCCCCGGGGGCCTGCTTTCACTCTCTGTTTGGGGAACTTATCATTCATGCAAACAGTGAAATGCTTTCACAGCAGTGCCCTTGCCCCAAGCCCCCAGCCCCCAGCCTCCCAGCCCATGCCTTCTACCTTCTGTGGCACACGTGTTAAGGTGGAATTTATTCAGGATGACAGGCAGACGAGAGACTCCTGGAGGCATCAGGCTTTGACTTTTCTCTGAGAGCGTGGGCAAAATTGATTAGATTATTCATCAGAGAGTGAGGCAGAGAGAGAGAGAGAGAGAGAGAGTGGTTAAGGTATTATTTTTTGCCCTCCGCTTCGAGTGTCCTTAAGCCAACATTTAATCACATTTAAATTGCACTCAATGCTCGCCCCGAAATTGATTCGAGATTTTACTTATTTTTTTTTGTTTGTTATGAAGGGACTGGAGAGAGGTGGCACATTAAGCCCTGTTTAAGCCAAGCAATTGAAATGTAATTAGGCAATGCTAATGCCACTCTTTAAATACGGATACAGGGGGACGACACACTCCCTGTCTCTCTGTCTCTCTCTCTCTCCTTGAGACTTATAATTACTTGAGCTCCTTCTTTTCTGGATATTTGCATAATTGATATTCCCCGCAAAGACATTTTTCAATTTAAAATTATGAATCTCTTTCTCTCGCCAAGCAATTAAAAAGATGTTTTTTTGTTTTTCCCTGTAATTCCCGTATGCTTATGGTCTCCACAGGGAGGGGGAGGGGGTTACAAGCTACTCTGCGTGATGCTGCATCTAAAAGATACTTTCCGCCGTTTGTTTTGTTTGTGGGGGGAAATGAATGAAATATTATGAAAATTACCTACGCAGCGTTTACAACAGCAACAATAAAAGTGGAAGGCATGTATAGAGTATGGTGACACCCTTTATTTTCCTTTGTATATTAATTAGGACTTCCCTTTTCAGTCATCATTTCTTTCTCTACAAATGCAGCATACCCCTTGGAACACTGCCATGTAATGGGTAATGGGTATTGGCTATATACACGAACAACAGCAAAGTGAAGTGCAGTGAAGTTTCCACGTGGTGCATGGATCGTTTCGAAGTTGGTTTCTGGCTTGGCTTGGGGTGAAGATCGCTAAAGGAAACCCCTGCAACGGCAACGACTAGCGGCATGGTAGGGGCAGTGGCAGCGGCAGCAGCAGCGGCAGTTAAGTCAGACTCAAAAACACATTGAGGCTGTAGCTGCTGCTGCCGCATGTTGCACATGTGTGTCCACATGCAGCGTGAGGCAGGCAGGGACAGAGACTGGGACAGGGACAGGGACATGGGCGAATCGCTGAGCGGCGTTTATTGAATTAAGACTGTCGACGACTGTTTGCAGTTGGCAGTTGTCGCACCCTTCGCTTGCAACAGCAGCCACACCAGCCACCAGGGGCAGCCTCTGGAGAGGCCAGAGGCGTTAAAAGTCACAAGGACATCGCCTGAGCCACGAATGTGCATTGCATGTGCCAATGTGCCACATGCTGAACGAAACGAAATAAAACGAAACAAAACGAAAAGAAGCTGTGCATCGCATCCGTACCCCGTCTGCCCCTTCCGTGCAACATTGTGTGGCGCCGCTGAGAGGCCGCAGAGAGAGATCTCTCAAGAACCATAAAACGGGTAACATGGTCCCGCTGCACTTGGGATCGGTTATGCGTGATTTTTACAGAAAACCGTTCAAGGGAGTGAGTGAGAGGCGGGAGGGTAGGGAGTGGAGTGGAGGTGCAGCAGCAGCATCTGGCATTTGCATATTGCTGTAAAAAGTCACGTTAAAGATTTGCCATCCATTTAACGGGCAGCAGCCGCAGCCGCAGCAGCAGCTCCATTGAACAACATTCCACGCCCCATTGTTCTGCTCACTCCGCTCTTGGCGATCCTGTGCTGGGCCAGAGACAGTGCGTATCTGAAGTGTATGCCAGAAGATATGGTCATATGGGAACCAGAAGAACCATTCTGTCAGATGTTATATTTCGTATTCCTAGCTATCCATCGCACCATCTTTCCATCGAATATCAAGGAAACAATCGTATTATTTATGATTCCAATATGAAATTAGAGGGGTGGGGGGGCCTGTTTTTGTCCTCCCATTAGAATGGGGAGCATTCCATTCCGAAAAATAACTAATATTCCGTTTAGCGGGAAAATTGGGGCAAAGAATGAGGAGAAGGAAATGGACTGTGGGGCATGGAGTGGTATGCGATGGCCTGAGATGGAATCTACTTAGTTATGAATCGCATTTACAAATTGAATTCAATTTGCTAGCCCCCCCCGGCCCTTGCTACCTCTCTGCTATACTCTCCCTCTTCCACTGTTCCTCTTCTTCTTGCTCTCTGTCTCTCTCTCGTTCTGTCTGTCTGCTGTACGAGCATGAATAGGCCATCATCAATCGAAGCAGAAACAATGAATGGGAATACCATATACGATTACACTCCAAAGGACTACCCACGTAGCGCATGGGACTCGCGACCGCCCCACTTTACTTTCCTTCTCCATTCTTCTGCTCTTCCTTTCCTTTTCACTCTTACACTTTCGGTTTTGTTGTGCTCCTCCGTTGCTGCTTTGAATGCTTTTTTATGCTACTGCCAAACACAGGTCACAGGTCAACAAAGTTTTTATTAAGCCCCGTCAGGAAGCAGCAACTAATAGTGTGGCAAGGGGGCAGCAGGATACCCCAGCAGCAGGAGGAGCGAGAATGGCGTGTGTTTGCGCTTTAAGTGGGGTGGCTCGAATGTGCGTGGGGGGGGCTAAGAGGAACCCCGAAACAAGGACAATGTGTTGTCGCACGAGAACCCACTAAATGATGAGGGTAAAGTGAGTGGGAGGGAGGGAGCACGGGAAGCAAACCAAAGCAACGCATTAGTTTTGGTAGGAGGGGTAGTTGTCGCTGGGGGGTGGTGTAAGTAGAGGAGGTAGAGGGAGGTTCCATGAGCTGGCGCCAGAGCGAGGCAAGAAGTTTTTTTTTTCCTGAAAGTCTGAACCATTTTGATACCCTACCAAATCCATTGCTCCTTCTGGCCACTCAACTCCTAAGCAGAAGGAGAGCAAAAACTCTGGGTACTTTCCATATGAACAGACCGACAGACAGATGCTCTTCCCGCTCCTAGCGTTGGCCAACATCTGTTCAAAATCATCAAACGCGTATCCTTCTCTCTCTCTCTCTCTCTCCCCTCTCTGTTACTCTGCAAAGGGCATTCCTAAGAGAAGGACGAACATAAAATCGAAGTAGCACCAAAAAGGAATCTGGGGAAAAAAGCAAAAGAAAAATTGTAACTGTTGCTGTGGCCCGCCTCACCAAAAACGGCTGATTGATCAAATGTATGTATGCGTATATGTTGTGTGTGTGTGCCACTGTGTGGGTGTCAAAGCGTCTGGGACCTCGGCAGCACAAACAAAAACCATATGTTTCATGTTTGACTCCCGCAAGCACGCACTACCCCCCTCTCCGCTCTCCCACGCACTGCAAGTCACTCAACTTTGCTTTCGTTCTGAGCATAAACTCAAAAAGCAGCGCCTGCGCGAGCGCTCGCTCTCTCTCTCGCCCAGTCTTTCACTCACTCATTCACTCTCTCTGTCTGTGTGTGTGTGTGCGTGTGATATTTTGTT